CAAGGGTTATTACCAAGGATTCAGTAACAGTGCAAACAAAATAACAATTCCAGAGAGGGAGAAAGAGGTCAACGCTGAACCTGACCCTCTCTGGTCCAAAACATGGACCGAATCCCGAAGAAGAAGAAAACATCCCTTACAAAGAACCACACTCAGCACAAAAGATAAAACGTTGTAAGCCGGAAGTTAAACTAGCAGCCATCAAAGGACTAGTTAAGGCAATGTTCGTGTTAAAGGGACGGAGGCCGCTGACCCCAACACAATTCTAGAACAATGGCCGACGAACGCATTTAAACCAGGTTTGGTTTGGTTTTTTGAATTTCGCGCAAAGCTACATGAGGTCTATCTGCGCTAGCCGTCCCTAATTTAGCAGTGTAAGACTAGAGGGAAGGCAGCTAGTCATCACCACCCACCGCTGACTCTTGGGCTATTCTTTTACCAACGAATAGTGGGATTGACCGTCATACTATAACGCCCCCACAGCTGAAAGGGCGAGTATGTTTGGTGTGACGGGGATACGAACCCGCGACCTGCAGATTGCAAGTCGAGCGCCATAACCACCTGGCCATGCCGGGCCTTTAAAACAGGAAACATTACAGTACCTCTACCGAAAAAACCTAAAGCTAAAGTCTTTGTAATCAAAGGTGTACACCCTAGCATAGAAACAGAATAAATATAACACGAAGTGACACAAAAGAACATCACATACACAGAAATAGAACGAATTATTTCAAGTAGATCAAAAACACCAACAAACGTGATCAGCGTTTATACACATCAATCGCAGGACATCCAAAGTATAATATCTGAGGGTATTATACTATAACTATGGTATCAGAGATTTGTGGTTGAAGAAGCAAAAACACTCGCCGTGTTTGTAACCACGTGTTACAACTGTCAACGATACGGACACGTTGCAGTAGCGTGTAAATCTCTCCCACGATGTGTGGACTGTGGTGGAGAGCATCATAACTCAGTATGCCCAAAACAACATAGTAACCTTCTATACTGTAATTGCCAACAGCAACACACTGCTAATTATAAAGGATGTCCTAAATATAAGGACATCAAAACAAGAACCTACATTATATACACCAAGTCAAAGTAAACTGAAACAAACACACACAATCCGGAAATAAACACCAGTAACACAAACCACACCCATACAGAATACATCATACACTTATGCTGAGGCAAAAGCAAAAACAGTTCCAGGAACAACCTAACAGTTCAAATGTACAACAAAACAAAAGTCCAATCATAGCAAATCAACAATCAAATATAGTTGTAATCGAACCAAACAATCCAGAAAGAAATCCCATCTCCGAAGCCATTCAAATACATTCATGGATTTCATAGAACAGTACAGAATCCCCCAAAGCCGTACAGATATTTTCACACTCTTTAATAGAAATAGCCAAACCACACTTTATGCCTGTAATACCACAAATCATCCACTTATTCATGAGACTCTATATCACACAACCAAGAAATCAAATATCTAGAGCCAAGTAAAAGTAAAAGTCATCCCATTCCTGAACTGGAAATGGCCCTGAAAAGGATAATTGTAATCAAACAAAAAAAAACCTCTATTAAAACAATAGTCAAAGAGGGAGGAGGAGGTAAAAAACTGCAATTGACCTTCAAAGGTCTACATAAGACCAAAAACCCCGATGATCGATCGCTAGCCGTCCATAATTTAAGTGCTAGACTAGAAGGAAGGCAGCCAACTCTTGGACAGTTCTTTGTTAAATAATAGTGGTATTGACCATCACATTATAACTCCCAAAGCTGAAAAGACGAGCATATATGAAAAGGGATTTCGATCCCGCGACCCGAAATTACTAGTCGAGCATCCTAACCATCAGACCATGCTATGCCCTGTAATATAAGTGAGTTATTGTTAGAACTAATGATGATAAAGTATGGCACCACGTTATAAAGTGATAGTCATTCAAGTTATGAGGCTCAAAGAACTAGATAACTCCCTTGTAGCGGGGGTGCTGTAGCTGGCAGCCTTCGTTATAGTTAACAGTTTAAAATTAAGGCCAGTTACACTTTATTCCAAAATTTAACAGAAATAGTTATAAAAAAGGGCTACTTCTTCCACAGAATAAAACTCAATTTATAAAATCATCTAAAGTCCTACTATGCATTCACTTTCTTTCAGCTATTTATAACTTTAATTAAAATTTACACAGGAACCTAGCAACCTGGCACTTCATGCTGAACCTACAAAGTGACAGACTAAAAAAATCCACAGCTGAAAGAATGAGCGTCATCATCGTATATTATGCCTCAACCCCTACGATCCGCAGCCCGACACATTAACCACTACGCTATATCGGACTCTGAAGTTTTGAAGTTCGTTGAATAATTCTCAAATTATATCAAAGACGTTTACAATGAACTAAGATACCGTTGTGCTAGTTTCACACAACTTATATACTAAGTTAGCCAAGAGTGGTGGCTTTTAATTTCTTTGAATGAAAGAACAGTTCGTGGCGGTGGGTGGTGAAGACTAGCTGCCTTCCCTCTAGTCTTACACTGCTAAATTAGGGACGGCTAGCGCAGATAGCCCTCGTGTAGCTTTGCGCAAAATTCAAAACAAACGAACAAACAAGAACAGTTCGAGAATATCGTTTTTCAAACAATTTTTCATATTGCCTTCTGCAATCATTGGTGCCCCCCAGTGGCACAGCGGTATGTCCGCGGACTTACAACGCTAGAAACCTGGTTTCGATACCCGTGGTGGGCAGAGCACAGATAGACGTTGTGTAGCTTTGTGCATAATTAAAAACAAACAAACAAGCAATCATTGGTATTTCACTGTACATGCTAATGCATGGTCGATATCTCCGTATAGTTTAATGTGAATATGCAGGGCCGGCGCTAGGGTATTTTACACTCTAGGCAAGTTGTTTAATTTACGCCCTCCACCTCCTCACCTATTTTTCCCCACGGTTCTATAGCTCTCTCCAAAAGACATTACATAGTAATATTATTTATTCGTAGAAAACACAAAATTGTAAACATAGCTGCATACATCCTAATGCAAGACGTACAGTACATGACGAATTTTTACAGCTTCATACTGAAGTTGCACTTTTCGTGCCTTTATCTCTGGAAATTGGCTAATCATTTCCTTGATATCAAGTTTTCCCGTGATTTCTTGCTCTATGGACACAGTTGCTAATCCAACAACCCTTTGTGTCTCGAAGGTAACTCTTTATCAATTTAAGCTTTGAAAAACTTCGCTCACCACTTGCAACAGTAACAGGCAGAGTAATAAGAATACGAAATGCAATAAATATATTGGGAACATTGTCAATGAGGCTATGTTTACAAATGAACTTCAGCACTGTTTGAGGTGGCAGAGATTCTGGTAGACGACGTGCATTTGCTTGAATTTCACTGCACAATTCAGCAGAATCAGTATCTTTAGGTTCACCATGCTACAAAGCCGATTCTAGCTTTACACAGTGTTTCATCATTTCTACTTGTGTCTTGCCTTGCAAATTTTTAATATCCTAGAAAAACCAAACACAGAACTCAGCTGAAACACTTGCTCAAATTGAATAGAATTGATTAAACATTTGTTTAACAACAATTAAAAGCTTAGAATGGTCTATTCTTTCATTGGGGGTGTGTCTGTGAGCCAAACTAGTTTCGGAGAATTCCACTCCTCATCATTTGCTTAAATCGAATAGAGTTGTTTAAACATTTGTTTAACAACAAGTAAAACCTTGGAATGGTCTATTCTTTCATTGGGGTGTGTGTCTGTGAGCCAGACTAGTTTCGAAGAATTCCACTCCACAGACACACACCCCAGATAAAAAGCCTTTCAATGCACTTCACAAATGTTTCGTTCTTGTTTTCCTGAAAAGCAAAGGTTTTTTTTGTTTGGTTTTTTAACTTTTGGATCGCTTTAGTTAAGGATGAAAATCATCGTACTTCAGCAACATTGATAAGCAACATGAAATGAATTTGGCTCTATGGAAATTTTTTTTCCAAATTTTTGTGATAACTGGCAATTGTGTTTTTCTAGCCAGCAGATATTTGCGCCCCAGGCAAGTGATTAGTTCACTTAATGGTAGCACCGGCCCTATGAATATGGTAACAAATTAACACGAGTATAACAAATAATCAGTAGTTATTAAAAGTTATATTTGCGTTATGCTGCCACTCCCCGGTAGAACAGCGGTATGTCTTCGAACTTACAACGCTAGATACTCGTGGTGGGCAGAGCACATGTTGCCCATTGTGTAGCTTTGTGCTTTAGTACAAACAAACAATTCGTTATGCTGTCACAAGAAGCTCACCATTAGTTGACTGTCTATTAAGTTTCAGATTAAAGTTTCTAATTGGCAAATTATCTTTGATTCGTAAAACATAATCATCTGTCGGTAGCTACAAGGATTTTAAATTCCTCATTAGTTACTGAAATTTGAGTACAATTAAACACATGCTTGAAAATGTTCGACACTTCCGTATACCCCCAGTAAACCCTCTTACCTACTTCAACTCTGCCAGTGTTCTTGAAGTAGATCCCATATATACTCTAGAACACTCAGAGCATTTATACGTGTAGATAACGTTCGAAAATTTTGATTTACTTATTCTCCCTTTCAAACACAAAATAGTTCCTTATTCTGACGATAGGATAGAGGATTCCCTCTTGTATATTTTTAAAATACCTACTTTCATTTACTTTATATTTTAAATTTTTTTTTTCTGACCTATGAAAACGCTTCCACATTTCCCATTTATTTTACAAATACCTGTTTTCTTCCATTATATTCAATTTGTCCTTAGTTTTGATTTTATAATTGATTTATCTTATTTATGGGTTTATCTGTAGGATAAAAAACTTTGTTGTTTTTTGAATATTGTTTATCTTTACAGGATAAATTAAGTTTATAGAATAAAATTAATTCTTCTTGTTTAGTGTTTTTACATACTTTAATAAAATTACTGTTATCACACTTCTTTTTCATAATTCTGCATTCATTTTCCTATCAATATTATTTATGAACTGTTAGATGTTTCAGCAGTAGTATTTCATTATCTAATAGTTGTTTCTGTTTTTTGTTTTTGAATTTCGTGCAAAGCTACACGAGGGCTATCTGCGCTAGCCGTCCCTAATTTAGTAGTGTAAGACTAGAGGGAAGGCAGCTAGTCATCACCACCCACCGCCAACTCTAGGGCTACTTCTTTACCAACGAATAGTGGGATTGACCGTCACATTATAGCGCCCCTAGGCTGAAAGGGCGAGCATGTTTAGTGTGACGGGGATTCGAACCCGCGACCCTCTGATTGCGAGTCGAGCGTCCTAACCACCTGGCCATGCCGGGCCCTATAGTTGTTTCCAACACAATTTTATAATTCTAAGTATTTTTCTTAGATTTCGTATGACACGATTGTTGATGTGGTGGCATTGTCACAGAAAAGTTTTCGATGAATTTTTTCACATTTTTTTAACTACGAAATTTCGAAAAACGTAAAGTATTATATTATTCTACGTCATAAGTGAATTTAATAGATAATTAGCAAATATTATTAATGCTCATTTGCCATGTCGCCATATCACGAAGATGTCCTCAACATATGTAATCCAAATTCTGATTCAAGTAAGTAATGGTTTTATCTTGTGTTGCTATTCCCACTTTTAAAATTTCCTTACCATGTTGAATTGTTCGATTTATGTTAAAAGTTAGGTCTGTGGGTTTGTAGATGGGAGCATCTTGTGGGAAGAGTTGAGAAAAGTAAGGTCCAACAACAAAAACTAATGCACTTTGTTGCAGTTGTTCTCTTACTGTGCTTAAATCTCCTATTAAATAATATACGTTTTTATATCTTGTACGTATAAATTATTATATGGTAAACGTCCATAAGCTCAAGTGGATACTTTGAGTAATATGGAAAGGAATGTTTAAGAAAATAAATAATACACGAGGAATATAATTAAAGTATACACCTAAGTTTGTTGCTTCGGTAAAGAGGTTGTTATTTTAACTGCATTTATTCATTTATTTAGAGAAAACAGTAATTTAAGTACACGCGAAAAAAATACACGATAAAAACTAGAGAAATATAATTACTTGATAATAATATACTTTTAACCTGTTCTATTTTTGATAAAATTATAAGTAATTTGTTGGTGCTAACTGTATTATACCTGGAGTCATCCAGATAGAATTAAAATAATTATATTAAACCCCCAAAATATTTTTTACTACTGAGTAAAGTGTCATTATTAATGTCCTTGGAAATTATTAGATGAAAATATTAAATGATTAAAAGTTGTAATCTTTTTTAATTGTTTAGGTTTAGATATCATAAACAAAACAACAATAGCTATTGAATGTTATAGAACAGAAAAAATAACTTTTACTTTTTATGTACTTAGTTCAGTTATACCACTGATGAGGTAAAATGGAATAATTATATAAACTCGCTGACTGTAGCAGAGATGAAAGAGGCCGGAATACAACTTGACAAAGTTCTATTTCTGTGTGGTTTTTTTGGGATCGGTAATTGCGAGTAAGTGAAAGTATTCTAATAAAGATCACGTAGGTTAAGATTTTATTATTATTTGAAAAATAAAACAAAATGATACATGTATTATATAAGATTATTAAAGAATTAAGTAGATGTGCAATTTGACAAATCTTTTGAGACGCAAATTGCATACCAAGCTCTGCCTTTGGTGAGAGCCAGACAGATCCGTTGAAAGTGTACAAGTAAAAGTAAACTCTCAGTCCATACTCGGCTTTTAAAAACCACAAAAATAACTCTTGTAATGCATTTTAAATGTTTTACCTTAAAAGTTTTGCAGGTTATTTTAAGGAGACTGAACTCCTCCGTCTCTTTTCTCTTGAAAACACGAACAAATTAATTGAAAATAAGCAAAATATCTGCTAGGATTTTAATAGCCTTCATTCTTCAAGAAAATTGTTGTAAGACAGGGGAAATGCATCGGAAGTGAAGAGGTGTAAAAGTCAAATAGACAAACGTGGCAGAAAAGGCAAAGCTGTTGCGCCACTTCTTGTTCAAGGCAGCCTATTTCACAATAGAGATGTGGTCAAGATTTCTACAGTCTGAAATTGGTACAATTAATGCATTAGTTTAATAATAATCTAGAATTTTGCTTCTACGGAAAACTAATGTTTTCATCAAGAAGTAAGAAATATCCTAAATACTTCTCTAATTTAGGCTTAAGCCTTATTCTATCCCTAGCATAATAAACCGGAAATTACATGGTGTAAATAAAAAAAGAGCGGAAAACTTAAATAGCAGTAATGTCTTTATTCTCCACATTGTAACTGAATATTTCATTACTGTATATTGTTGTGTATCTGCTTGTTTGTTAATTTCCGGTAAAATTATTTCCGAGAAACAAACTTTGTAATACACAGAATTTCCAGTCAATACGTTTTCTAAACTTAACTACACGCTATGAATCGCAGTGATTCACACACTTTACTTACAGTGCCTACTGTTCGTTTGACTCAATTATTTATCTCCTCAATCACGCTGGTTTTTCTCGCCAGGCTTATATATTAAAAAAGAGGGCACCTCGATCAGACTACAGTTGCCGAGCAAATTCATGATCCTTCGAGAAACTCCAGAGCGCATGCTCCCAGTGTCACATGACTTCCACTGTCGTAACACTGTCCCTTCCTTAGTATTGTTCGTCTCGAACAATAGCCACTTACATTTAATCAAAAGATAACTTACAATAACTTAATTAAATGTACAGAATTTATAAACACAAAATTAAAATACAACAAAGTCTCTTAATTTTACAGGACGTGTCTTCTTCTGTACTGGTCTCCATCTCATTGGCCTCTGCTTCACGTGGGGTTCATCTGCTCCATCAGGAAATGTCCCATTACCGGTAGCAGTCACATCAGTGATAGTAACTTCATTAATGGCTTCACTGTTTTTCTTCTCAAAACCGTGTAGAGTGTCTTCTTCGACAGT